AGAGCGAGGCCGGGAACGAAAAACACCAATTTTATTAAATGAAAAAAAAAAAAAAAAAAAAGGAACAACTCTCCAAAATGGTCCCTGTTGCCAGGGTGACACGTTGCTGAGATACAGGAGTGCAGCCAGGAGCGGGTGTGATGGGCACAGCACGAGCTATGTACAGGGCTGGGTGGCTGGCACAGTGGGGGGCGGGTCCCTGGTCCCCCCGGCATGAGGGGCATGGGGAACCCAAGCGTCCCGGCTCCCTTGGGCCAGGGCGGCTGGGGCTCCCCTGGGCCAGGGCAGCTGGGGCAGTGCCACGCTGCAGTGTGAGTGAGGGCGGAGGGCAGCGGGGCTGGGCGCGCCTGGCAGTGCTGCTTCTCCTGCCCGGGGCCCAGCCCTGGTGCCCACAGCAGAGGGGTGCCCGGCAGCTGGGACATGGGGCAGGATGGATGGGGGCTGGGCCCCAGTGGCGCTGGGGGTGCCAGGGGCTGCTTGTGCTTCCAGACTGACCCGCGCTGCCTCCATGGCCCCTGGGGTGCCTGCTGCCTCTGTCCATCCATCTGTCGGTCCGGGTCTGTCCATAGGGGCCTGGGCACTGTCCCCTGCCCCCTGCCCCGGGCGCTCAGCCCGGCTTGGGCCCAAAAAGCCCGACAGGGAAGTGCTTGACGTGGGTCGGCCATTGCGGTGCCAGCTGGAAGAACTTGATATCGCTCCACTCCACGCCGTCGATGGAGACTGGGGGGATGGTGGGGGTCAGCAGGACGCCTGGCACCCCCCAGACCCACCCGCAGCCCGTTCCGCCCACGCCGCGCCCCCAGAGCCACCCGCAGTGCGTGTGCCACCCAGACCCCGGTGCCACCTCACCCTTGAGCATGGTCTGCTGCTGCTTGGCGGAGCAGATGAGGCGGCTGATGCCCTCGATGACTTGGCTCTTGGAATCCATCTCCTTCTCCCTGGGCTTCTTGCTCAGGAAGATGGTGGGCACTGCCAGGAGAGGGGCAGGAGGTGGGCACAGGGAGCCTGCAGCCCGGCCCCAGGTCACCCCCACCCTGGCCTGTGTTCCTTGTGTCCTGGGGAGAAAGGACTTCCCCACCCCTTTGTCCTGGGTCCCAGAGAGCCCAGGTGTCCGGGCTCCCAGGTGGCCCCCTGTGCCCAGGTTACTGCCTCTTGTTCTCCATGCCCTGCCCAGTGTCACTGCCTTCGGCCCTGCCGCTCCTCTGGCCCCA